TGGCATTTTCATTAATTAACTCATATCTCCGTCAAAAAGGCGCATGGACCCAAACCAACTTGGGGTTTTTCACTACTGACTATTCCCTACATGATGAAAATAGTCTGAGTCGAAAAGCTTTTAATCATCTCGAGAGGTTCCCTCGTGAGTGATGGAATCAGAAATTTGAGTTTTCGAAAAACCTTTCTCCTTCATTGGCATAGCCTGCATTGTCGGTCATTTCCTATTGATTCCTCGTGCAATTTCTACAAGTAGATCGGAGATGTCTAACTGATCAAAAAAACTAAAGTATAAAGATCCGATTTTTGAGAGCTGAATCAAAATGATGAAGCGGAGACAACGTTCAAGAGTAATAAAGTCGGATGCCGATTTCAGAATGTTGATAACTCAACAATTACTTCACAAAAATATATCGACCGATAGGGAAACACAGTCCCGGGACTTGGAGCCTGGTTTTATTCATAGAGACAGTTTTAAATTTTTCTTTAATCTTGTCATGTCTCGAAGTTTTGCTTTGCCCGTAACTGATAGACTGCAGTTAGACACGTCGACTACATCGAATCCTCGATGGTGTTCGATCATGTCAGCAAAATAATCGACACTCGAATCGCTCACTGATTTATTCCAGGAGAGATTCAGCTGAATAAGAGTCGTATTGAAATGAGCAAGTACTCTGGCTAACCGTTGCACCCCTATATCGCCTATTTCATTAAAGGATAGATCTAGACGGGTCAGTGCTCGATTATTCCTCAGGAACTGAGCTATATACAATGCACCTCGATCTGTGATGCCGTTAGAGCCAAAGTAGAGTTTCTTGAGCGTCGAGTTGTTGACCGCGAGTATCTGTGTCAAAGAATGTATGCCCTTGTCCGATAAGCGATTTCCAGAAAGTTCTAGTGTTTCCAATGTTGTGTTGTCCTGCAATGCGTCCGCTATGATCGAGGCACCATTTGGAGTAATCTCGTTTTGTGCCAACCAGAGCGCTGTGCACTGTTTTTGGATGATCACTTGTGGAGCCACAATGTTCATGTCTCGATCGGTTAAGTGCTCCTTAGACAATAGAACAAACGATCGAAGCTCATATTTGGCGATTTCTTCTTCAAGTCTCGGATTTCGATAAGTTACGTCGTTTTTCATCGACGGCTTTACAGTTTTTAGTAGGCCCGTCGATGGTGGAGGTAATCTATTCGTTGGCTGAGCAAGTGGAACAGCATGTGAAGAGATTGGCTCGAGCAGAGGAAACATTGGTTCAATCTCCTTTAATTGAATAATATAAACGCTGTTGCCCAAGTCGAGACATCCCATAACTTTGAATTGTCGGGCAGCGGGAAGGAGAATTTCATCCTCTGATTGATATAAAGAATGATTGCGGATGTCTTTTCCACTATCACACTCGATAGTAAACATAGTTCTGGTACCTGACTTGCCGAGAAAATCTTCTGACTGGAGTACTTCTAAGGTGAGTGTGCATGAGGAAAATCCCCACCAGACAAAAGTTTTACCCTTGGGGTATAAACGATGCAGGTCCATTTTCACTCCTCGATAGACAGTACGACGGGCCGATGGAAGTTTCGACAGCGCAGTGACAATGAGTTTCAGATAGCGAAACCAAGGTTTTAGTTTTTGTCGATTCTCGGAGCGAAGAGCGGTGTTGAAAACGTAATAAAAAGATTTGTGTTTCGGAATCCATTCCATTGTGTACAACATGATTGAAGCCGACTCATCAGCTGTAAGACCATCCAGTGGTTCGTCACAGTTTTGCTTGACTGTCCATGCCATACGCTTGATTTGAGGCACCAATGAGATAAGAGGATGGACGGCCTCTTCGAGAGAAACGAGAGGCACATTTTCGTAGCCTTGAATCGGTGGAAGCATACGTTGAGGCTCTCCAGATACGTCTTTGAAGCGAAACGTATGCTTCTGTTGGACATCCCCATTCGTGTATCTCGACGCCATCTCGACTCCAGCGGGTGTACGGACTAAATTCAAATAGTGAAACGTGATAGATACAGCGGACGGGGATGACTTCTTTACATTTAGGGCCCAACAAAACCCCAGAATTTGAAGGAAATAGCAGAGAACAAAGTTTCAACGCAAAGCAGAGTTGGCAATTTTTTGCGAAGCAAAGTTAAAAAGTCGGCACTTTTGCTTAATGGAATCATATAGAAGAAAGTCTCATTGCGGAAAGAGAAGTTTTTTTCTTCTGCACTGCCGACACGAATAAGAAAAGAATGGATGACAAAACAACAGTTGCCATGCATCGCTTTCTTCTATTTGATTCCATTAGGCAAAAGTGTCGACTGACGAAGTAACTGATGCGCACTTTTAAATTTGTTTCGCAAAAAGTTGTTAGTTCTACTCCCTGTTAAAACTGCATTTGACATTTTCAAGACCGAACATCACATAAGAGTTAAAAAACGTAGGTTGAATTGAGCAAATTAATCTTACAATTCTATCTGGTTCTTCTAGTTGCAAGATAGAACCTTTTTTGCTTTATTTTCATAAAAATGCGGTTTTTTTGAAGATAGTATTTATTACAGATTGGTCTTACAACTTAAAGCTGACTATCTCATGGACAGTAAGGCGCTCTAAATTCGAAGAACGCGCACTATTTTATTTTTGTGCTTATGTATACATCATTCGATAGAGAATTTGACGCTGATCAAGAATATCATAGTTAAGAAATTTTAAGTGTCCTTTTAGTATGAAATGCTGGAAGGGGTCTCATTATTCAAAAAAATTGCTTACTTTTTTCGAAATATCAATAATTTTGTGCCAACTGATTTTGAAGCCTTCAAACTACGTTTTCGTAATCAGCGTTTGCAGATGCATATGGGCAACTATGCTTGACGGTTCCAGATTGTTCCAGAAATTCTCTATCGAATGATGTATGCATAAGCACAAAAATAAAATAGTGCGCATTCTTCGAATTTGGAGCGCCTTATATTAGACACAACCCAGCAGCGTCTCATTTCGAAAGATTTTCTGGAAATCTGGTTTTTTTGTAGACCGTCTGAAAATTTTCTTTCGGCATGACGGCTTGTTCACGTAACGCGCTACTTCGTTGCGGAAGTTTTTTTGTCGAAAATCTGGGAATCCATTTGTACCAGGCTGTAGAGCGGTTCTCGGGAAAATCTAAATG